GTTGTTACGAAAACGTCGTGGACTGCTCATAATCCAGGAAGGAGATACATTTGTTGCTCGAAGTCACGGGTAAATTTTTGAATTTGGGCAAATTTCAGAATTTGGGGAAATTTCTAATTTCTAATGCTTAGTTCCCTTTTCCAATGAATCTTGTAGGAGGGTGGTGATTGGTCATTTTTTATCTGAAATTTACTCTAATTTGTGATTTGGGCAAAAATAGTGAACCCTAAATTCTGAATTTGGGCAAAATTATTGAACCCTAATTTATTAAATTGATCTCGTAGAATTGAGTTCCCTTTTCCAATGATATTTGTAGGAGGATGGTCATTGTTCCTTTTTTTCTGAAATTACCCTAATTTTTGAATTAGGGCTAAATTAGTGAACCCTAATTTCTGAAACTGGGCAAAATTATTCAACCCTAATTTCTTAAATTGATCTCGTAAATTTAAGTTCCCTTTTCCACTGAATTTTGTAGGACGAGGGTGGTTGTACATTTTGGATGTGGATTGAACCACCATTGTGCCCTAGAGCTCGTGAAATCATTCCAGGGCTTTTGAAGCGTGCCAACAAATTTGAAAGCGAAACTCAAATTCTTGAAGCAGACGTGATGAGGTTGGAAAATGATATGAAGATGCTTCAATCAGATTTCAAGGAGGCCGAAGCATGTATTGAAGCTATTAAGGAAGAAATGGCTGAAATGAAATTGTGCTTGAAGAGGAAGAGTGTTCGGGAGCGTTGGATGTGGATTGTAATTATGATCTCTTGGTTAATCATGTATTGCATGATGTAGATTTTTCAGCTTTTAGCTTTGTGTTGTTAACTCTTTTGGTCCTCTTTTGGTTGATCAAACTATTTTGGTTTTGGTTGTTCACTAAACGTGGCTCAGCCATTGTAAGATTATGTATGTATTGCATGATGTAGATTTTTCAGCTTTTAGCTTTGTGTTGTTCAAACTCTTTTGGTCATGTTTTGATTGATCAAACCATTTTGGTTGTTCAATGAATGTGGTTCAGTCATTTGAAGGAATTAGAACTTATGACTATTTTGTTGCTTGTTGTAGTGTGTTAGGGATAGCTGCACAAAAAAAGAAGAGGTTCCCACTGCCAATGCCATATATTATGACACTTTCACATAATCCTTTCACATAATCCTTTCCCACTGCCAATGCCATACACACATAAATGGCAGTGAAACAACCCATTCAAATAAACTGGTATCCATTAAACACAATTTGATAGCCAAACATTATGAATTATTGTGATTGATTACAACACAATTACAAAACAAACCATTAAAAAAACCAACCATAATATCCAAAAGACATAACCATTGTATCTGAGTTCAACAAACACATCAACCACAGCCATTGTCACAAAATATCCATTACTGACCCCTACAAACACATCAACCACAACCACACATCAACCACAACCACAGCCATTGTCACAAAATATCCATTGTCACAAAATATCCATCCACATGAAATTGTTTTTAGTTTCCAATATCTCTGAGAACTGACCCCTACTGATCCACTATGTCCCCACTAGTTGTAACCCAATATGTTCCCAAGATCTCTGGCTCAGGCTGAGATTGCACCACATGCTTCTTCACCACTGGTCCCTTTGTTGTTGTAAAGCTAGCACCTTGAGTCAATGGATTTTTCTTGGTCACTTATTAATTGGATAGTAAGATCATTAAAATATGTTGAAACAGACAGTGAAAGTAACACAATAAAAAAAATAGAATACATTACCTCAAGTTTTCTCCTCAAGCCCAATGTCTTGCTTTTTTGCCCCAAATCCTTTGTAGGTGTGAGACCTTTGGAGTGGCTTCTTGTTGACCTTGTAGGTGTAGCTACAGATTGAATTTGGCTTCTTGTCACCCTTGTAGGTGAAGTTACAACTGAAGGCCCTGCAGACTGACTCTGTTTTCTCATTTTAGGTGAAGTTGTAACTGAAGGCCCTGCAGACTCACTCTTTTTTCTCATTGTAGGTGAAGATGCAGGTTGTGCTTGGCTTCTTGTGAGTCTTATTGATGCAGGCTGGCTTTGGCTTCTTGGTGAAGATGCAGGCTGCCTTTGGAATTTTGGTGAAGATGTAGGCTGCCTTTGGCTTCTTGGTGAAGATGCAGGTTGTGCTTGGCTTCTTGGTGAAGATGCAGGCTGTGCTTGGCTTCTTGTGAGTCTTGTACATGCAGGTTGGGTTTGGCTTTTTGTGGATTTTTTTGGTACAGATTCATGAACAAGTTCATAGGAATACCGATGACTTCTGGTGACCCTTGAAGGTATTGTTGCCACTGATTCCTGTGTCTGAAGAACTTCACTTTCCTTACCATGTGCTTTCATCTTCTTTCCCTTCATAACAAACAAACAATGTACAATGTAACTATCCATTAAATGAATAAGAAAAAAAAAAAAAAACAGACACTTCAATGAAATAGTAGACACTAATGCACTGAAACTCAACCTGAAATATTTATATATTTATATAAAACATTACCTTGGACACAACAGCTTCTTCATTAGGGACAGGTACTTCTCTCTCTGCAGAATCTTCAGCAGGGGCATACACTTCAGTTTCTCTCCCATGTGCTTTCCTCTTCCTCCCCTTCATAGAAAACAACAATGTACATGTGACTATGCAATTTGTGATATATATATATATACACACATAAACACTAACTGTAATAAGGCATAAACCACAGACATGTATAACTACTTGTGACTTTACCTTGACCACAGAGATGTCCTCATTAGGGGCACTGACTTCACTTTCTTTCAAAGTTGCTTTCCTTTTTTTACCCTTCATAACAAAANNNNC